ATGTGTGGCACCCTTCCTTAGGCTATGATAAGGGCTAGGACACAATGACATCACGCTTGTTAGCTCCCAGTCCCCCTAGCAGCGAGGGACTGGCCGAAGAAGCCCCATCATTATTAAAAAAGAAGGAACTTTTACACAGTTTGTACGAACGTGGAGATTATTATGTTAAGCGAAATAAGCCAGTCAAAGAAGTTTACATTCTGTATCTCACTTATATGTGGAAGCTAATGAACAAAATAAACTAGCAAGCAAAATAGGGCCAGAGGCATGGATACATGGAACAGACGGACAGATCTCAAGAGGGGATGGAGGGTGGGGGCACTGGAAGAGATTAGCCAAAGAACATCTACGCATATGGGCATAGCCCGTGGATACAGACAACAATGAGGTGAAGGCTGCGGGAGGGGGAGAGGGACCGGGACTGGGTAGAGGGAAGCAAAGGGGAAAAAAAATGGGAGACATCTGTAATAGTGTCAACAATCAAAAAAAAAAAAAAGATGAAGGTTAAAAGCTTTCCACCAATCTCATCTTCACCGGCTTTCTTTCCAGCGTGCAATTCCCCATTTCTGGACGATGCGAGAGCTGACGGAAGATGTTCCCCTGTCCGTTGGCTTATGGAGCTCCCTTCCAACACGTCCTCTCCACTCATTCAGAATTTTGAGAAGAGCGGAGCTTTCTCCACCTCTCTTTCCTTCGGAGGGCCTCTCTTAGCTGTGCTTCTTCAGGTGGCTCTTCAGCGATGAATTATTCGTGTAGCCTTGCCCACACTCGGCACACTTATAGGGCCTCTCCCCAGTGTGGATCCTCGTGTGCGTGGCGAGCGTACAAGACTTGTGGAAGGCCCTCCCACACTCCTTGCATTTATGGGGCTTCTCCGCAAGGTGTCTGAAGAAGTGTTTCTTGAGGTGCAGCGAGTATCGGAAGGCTTTCCCACATTCCTGACAGGCGTGGGGCTTCTCTCCAGTGTGAACGCTCCTGTGTTTCAGAAAGTACGAATGATAAGCGTAGGCTTTCCCACAATCTTGACACCTATAGCTTTTCTCTCCGTTCCACGTGCCCCTGTGTGACTCAGCATGTGGAACCTGCGGGAAGCTTTTCCCACTCGGATTATTCTTGTTCGTCGTCTGCGCTGGGTAAGATTGCACCGGCACAGCAGGCATGGGGTTCCTTCGGGGAACGTTCTCACGCTCACTGGACCCGTAAACTTTCTCTGGAAGGCGAGTCTCGCGTGCCCTAAGGACACAGTCTTCTGGGAAGAGTTTCCCCAATTCGTAGACCGAATTGTTTACCCCCCGAAATGTTTTATCAGGTGCACGAAGCACACGATTCCGATTCTTGACCCGCATGACCGATCGCCACTCTGTAGGCGTTCTCACACTTGGAGCTGACCGAATGCACTGCCGCGGTCCTCTGTGGTCCTCGCTGTTTTCAGAGGTTTTGGGGTTACCCCTTAAGACAACATCTGGATGCAGAATATTTTGGGGTGTGTGTTTTCTGGCGGGATCTCCCTGCAGAGGCACGCGCTCCTCCCTCGTTTCACAGGCTGGAACCAGACAGCCGTCTTTCTCTCGGGCAGCCGCCACGCTCCTCCCTCTCGGCCCCCTCCTCCGGTGTGGCTCCTCTGGTCTGAGGCCTCCCACGTCTCCTCCTGGAGTGGGGTTGTTGCTCCTGAGGCACACTCTGTCGGCTTCACGGACTGTGTTTTCGGCAAGAATGTCCTGCCCAGAGGCCGCGTCTTCGGTTTTCTGTCCAAACACCTCACCTGAAATACAGCGCCCAAGAGTTAAGTTCTTGGTTGAGCGTGAAGACGGGCTGGAGAGGATAAAACGGGTAAATGGCCGTGTGGGCTTCTTTCCTTTTTAAATGTGCTTTAAAGTTATTTTTATTGATTTGGGAGAGAAGAAGAGAGGGGGATAGAGAGACAGAAACATCTGTGAGAGAAACAGCGATCGGCTGCCTCCTGCACGCCCACGACTGGGCATTCAGCTCAAAACCCAGACATGTGGCCCTGACCGATTTGGCTCAGTGGATAGAGCGTCGGCCTGCGCACTGAAGGGTCCCAGGTTCGATTCTGGTGAAGGGCATGTACCTGGGTTTCGGGCACATCCCCAGGAGGGGGTGTGCAAGAGGCAGCTGATCGATGTTTCTCTCTCATCGATGATTCTAACTCTCTATCCCTCTCCCTTCCTCTGTGTAAAAAATCAATAAAATATATTTAAAAAAACAAACAAAAAACCCAGGCATGTGCCCTGACTGGGAATTGAGCCACGACCTCCTAGTTCATGGGCTGACAACTCTCAACCACTGAGCCACATTGGCCAGGCTAATATGCTTTAAAAAAAAAATTTGATTTCAGCCCGGCTGGTGTTTCTCAGTGGTTAGAGCATTGCCTGCGAACAGAGGGGTTTCAGGTTCGATTCCCGGTCAGCGGGCTCCTAGGTTTGCTTTCGGCTGGCTCGGTTTCCCCACTCAGACGATCCCTGAGTGCATTCCTTTTCTGCAAATCCATTCTCACCGGATTTTTGCTGCCGCCATTAATCTCTCGTTTGAACTCATTCCCACGAGAAGACAAGGACTGCGGACGCAGAGCAGGTCTCCGGCCGCAGGTCACCACCCTGATCACTGCGGACAAGATGTCCAGTTCCACGGGGGAGGCCCTAGTCTACCAGCAGCAGCCGTGTCTCTGGACCGTAACAAGCCGGGTCCCGTGTCAGCTGCCTCCTGACCACAGGAGGGCCTGGCTCCCCTCGGGGCGCGGTACGGGGCCCTTACCGACGGAGGCCAGGTTCCGGATGTTCTCCAGCATCACATCTTGGTAGAGGGCCCTCTGCTCCGGGGCCAGCAGGGCCCACTCCTCCTTGGTGAAGTTCAGTGCCACATCCTCGAAGGTCACTGTGTCCTACAAGTAAACACCCTTAGGCTCACTGGGGTGAACTGTGTCCCCTCCCAAAAATACGCTGCTATCCTAACCCCCAGGCCCTTGAATGGGAACTGATTTGCAAATAGGCCCTTTGCAGATGCGAAGGCAATAAAATGAGGTCACCCAGTGCTGGAAACCTAGATCAGCAGTAAGAATATAACTGCGAGAGGTCCCCCAGAAGACTGAGTTTGGGCTTTGATATTCACAGGGTGAATATTTGCATTTTATTACCTACTGCTGACTCAATGGTCTAAAGCAGTGGCCGGCAAACTGCGGCCCCTTGAGCGTGGCTCTTCCACAAAATACCACGTGCGGGCAACAACATACAAACCTGACTTACCCAAACTTTCCAAGGAGATGCAAGGCCATTGTTCACATTAGTGTTTGTCAGTCATTGTCATGATTTAATTTGATGGATATTGTAAGGTAAATTGTAAGGAATTTAATTTTATCAATAAATAATATCGTTATTAAGTATGATATGGAGATTTATTAACATACCTATAGTTTAAGACTTAAAACTTTAAGTAAAGTTTATGAAGTTAATTTTAGGGAACATTGTGGAGTGAAAGATGTAGTGTCAAGGATTGAGAAAGGTATGTTGAGATTGTTTGGACATAGAGAGGGCGAACAAAAGGAGATAAACAAAACAAGTATACAAGACAAGACGAGTGTGGATGGGAGATTTGGAAGGGGTCGAACCTATATAGTTGAAGTTTAAAAAATTTGGCTCTCAAAAGGAATTTCAATCGTTGTCCTGTTGATATGTGGGTCTGTTGGCTCATGAGTTTGCCGACCACTGGCCTAAGGCAAACTCCCCCCAAACCTGACAATCTTACTGTTTACTAAACATTACCCTTGATCTGTCTGTTTGCATTCCTAAGAGGCAATTGTGTGTTCCAGTAAATAAACGCAGCTGGGCCGAACCGGTTTGGCTCAGTGGATAGAGCGTCGGCCTGCGGACTCAAGGGTCCTAGGTTGATTCTGGTCAAGGGCATGTACCTTGGTTGCGGGCACATCCCCAGTAGGGAGTGTGCAGGAGGCAGCTGGTCGATCTCTCTCATCAATGTTTCTAACTCTCTATCCCTCTCCCTTCTTCTCTGTAAAAAATCAATAAAATATATTAAAAAAAATAAAATAAAAGCAGCTGGGAACGGAGACTCAGAGGAACTTGACGACTACAGTGCAGCTTTCCCTGTTTTCCCCCCATAATTCCAAGTTAATATTTCTTGTCTTGTGTGTCGATTGGCGCGTCAGCTCTTTCTCCAAGCCTTTGAACCTGAAAGCCACCCTGGCCGGGCCTTTCACCACACAGGAGCAGGGTGGGCTCCTGGGAAGAGGAAATCTGGACAGACCTACAGCGTGTCCCAAAACCTGTACGCACACCTTAGCGGCTGGTAGTGCAATGGAGGTTTCTTTCCTTTCAGCCAGACTAACCTCTGAGCCAAGGAAATGCATCCTAAAATGCAACTGGAAGTCGGAAAACGCAGGTGCAGTACACACACTGCCCCTGTAATTATTCAGAGTGTGGGTACACACTTTAGCAGCTGATACCTCGCTTGATTTTCACGCCTTCTCAGGTTCAACTGATTTGAAATACTGGGTGAAGCCAGACTAAGTTTTAAACAAGGAGCATTGATCCACTAGAATTTTTTATGGGGTTACATCGGAGAAAAAGTTGAGGGCACAAAGTTGGCAGCGGTTGATGAATTGAGGGCGCACGGGTGCCAAACGAAATGATTCTTGATGTTCGTGATTCCATTGCTTCGCGTTATCAGCAGCGCCTGAACCAGAAGGTCACCAGTTTGGAAACAGGCATTGAACAGAAAAATTGTTATTTTTAAAAAATATATTGTTATTGCCCTAGCTCAGCGGTTCTCAACCTGTGGGTCGCGACCCCTTTGGGGTCGGAAATCACAGATATAATTGGATATCGATTACGTGATGAATCACTATGCTTTCATTATGTTCAATTTGTCACAATGAAAATACACCCTGCAGATCAGAAATTTGCATGACGGATCATAACCGTAGCAACATGACAGTGAAGAAGTA